TGAAAAATTATGTAACAGGATAATAATTTGAAATTTATTAACAAATAAATAAAAAATACTAAAAATATATTTAAATTTCATTTTAATTATTAAAAGAAATTATAAAAATATAAAACTTGTAATTAGTGATACAATCTTTTAATATTTGAAAATTAATCAAATATTTTAATAGATCTTAATTTGTTCACTTTATGAGCCATCTTTAATTTAAGAATTTTTTATTAATTCTATTTCGTTTTAAATTGTTTCCGAATACCCTTTTTAATAGACTTCCTTAAATTGAGAGTTTTCTGTCACATTTTACTTTTAATTATCTTCGATTTAATTGCCTATAGAATTCTCTTTGTTTTAAGAATCTTCTTGAATGTCTCCACTGTGTGCTTATAAGTAAGATATCTTAAATTTAACATTAATTGGTTTTTAACTATTTGTCAAGTGCTTTTATTCTACGCTTAACATTGATTTTGGTTTAAAACTTGCATAAAGTCCTAATTTATTATTATAAAAGTTTAGTTTTTTTTTATATTATATTTTTTAGTTTACTTTCTGTTTAACTGTTAATCATCTATGTATTAAAATTAGAGCTGTCTGTTTCAATGCTCAACATTTATCTGTGACTATTTGGTATAGAATCTAGCTACTTAGTAGGACTTAAGTCTTGTAAAAAAATATTTTCTTAATCTTATTTAGAATTAAGTTAATTATCATTTTCTTGTTGGTTTTATTAAGCTTGTATTTTGTTTTAAGGGAATTTAATAAATTAATTAAATGAAAATAAAAAATTTACTTGTTTTTGTATTTCTAATAGAAGAGAGCATTTCCTTAATTTAATTTTGATTTAACTTTGCAAACTCTTTTAAAGATGATCTGATCTTTTGCTTTAAAGCAGGATTTATTTTTATCTTTCTTTATTTAAAGTATTTTTGTATTGATGGGTATTTTTCAAAAACTTTAAACAATAGATTAATGACTTAATTATATTTGTCTTTTAGTATTCTTAGAGCTATGTAAATGATAAAAAATGAGTTAATCAAAACTATTATTATAAAACAGCCAATTTTCAAATAATTGTATTAATTATTGTTAATGA